ATTGTTGTTGTTGTTGCTTCTCCAACACATGAGTGAACAGAAACAATGACTTAAGAGAACCACAGTTAAAAGAGGAGAAGGGGGAAACTTATAGGAGCTCTATTACGCTCATTAGCAGGTTTCTATTTGTAATGGTGTCTCTACTGTGACATGTCTCCATACTTTAATGTTCAAAAAGCTCTTTATTGTTCTCATACTGCCTCTTTTCACCCTCTGTCTGAAAGCAGAGCCCAGTCTGCTCTGATTGGTTAGCTTGCTGGCTGTTTTGTGATTGGTTAACCGCTTGGAGAAGTAAACAAAGGAGTCCAACGGAGTCGTTTCAGGCAGTGGGGGGAGTAAGAGTGTGGGAGAGAAACTCCCTCTTGGAACTGTGTGATTTTAGCCTGTGCAGACTTCTGCACCATGTACATGCACAACAACCTATATAACACACTACAGGAAATGGAGACCCCCAAAAAGCATTATAGGGCCCCTTTAACTTGTGTCGCGTAGCTTTAGGGTTAGGGAATGATCAGCTGAATATTGTCACAACACACAATATGGAATTCATGTATGCTTTCACTTTGCAGTCTTAACCACAACCTTTCTCAAGGCGTTATTAGCATCACATGGAAAGCTTCTGTCTCTGGTTACACTTCCTGTACTTTCTTGTATCTAAAACTGCCAGTAAGCTCAGTCCAGACAGCGAAGAGCTCAACGATTTAACTGGCAAAGCAAGTTAGAAGGCTAATATATTAACACATTGTGCTGGACATAGAGTTGAGGCACTAGCTGTTCTGCAGATGTATTATGTATGTCCTGACCTCTTGGCCTACATGTAGCAAAGGTTACTTCTTTTGTCTATAATCGATTAATTTCTAAAGTCTATTACGTCAATTCTTATGAGCATGTAAGACACAGATTGAATGTTCACAATGGCTCCCGTCATTGCCAGCTAAGATAAGTCTGCTGCATTGACTGTCAATAACGTTGCAGTCTCCGAGCAGCTTAGTAGGAGCTCTCGTCTCGTCTTTCCTTCCTAAGCCTCCGAGGGGCCGTGTGGTGATCTGAACGCCTTTCATCCATTCTGAGAGAACTGAATAAAGTTCAGAGGAATTACAAGAATCCACCCAGTCAGACTCGGAGAAGCTGGAATAAGCACCATTACTGAATCAGTCTCACAAATGTGTATACAATTGCCAACGTGACGGGGATGAATCAGCATGGCTGCAGATACTGTGGAGCATGTGGGCCGATGACACCTAACTCAAAGCTCACATTGCTTCACTTAGATGTGTTGCCAGATCACTGGAGATGTTGTGGGAGAACAGAGAGTCTGTCAACTTCTTCCTCCAAGATTTTCCCTGCCACAATTCAAACCACCACACCATTGAGTGAAAAGTTTTCTAATCAGCAGGGTACTAATCCAAACACTACTCCACCATGGCAGTCTCCGTGAGAAATGCTTCACAAGGGTGGTCTGTTTAACAAAACAGAATGTGTTTACCCAGCAGATTCACATTGTGAAATTTTAAGACGCTGTGGCAGCCATCTGCCAAACGCTTATTTATGTTTTGTGGAATAAACACATCCATGCCCATTACTTGGCATCTACAAATGATTTGGTTTGACTCTGAATTGCATGGAAATTAAACCTCCTCATGAAGCAAAGTAATGACCTGCCACCTTTGTGAATTGCCATTAAATCCACCAAAGCCAACCTGATTTGGACTTAAGGGAGGGAGAAAAGCGCTGTAATTAAAAAATACTCTCATGTCTGCTAACCATATCAAAAATGAATATGAGAGGTTTTTTAATGCAGATGACGTTCAGCAGGCATTCTTATGCATTAACAGATATTGTTAATTAAAGCCCATGTGGTGCAATAGTGTAATTAATGTCTTTCCTACGAACATTCAAATGGGTCTGATTGGATCATTTGTATTCATCTATGAACATTCTCAAAATCATTCCTCATTAGTTGCAACCAAATGCATGAATAAGAAATATTACACATTTGGGAAATGAATGGAAATTCATCTATCTTCTTAAATAACAGCATACGTCTATCGATGTTTTAGCTTGCCCACTGCCTTTAAGTGGAAAAGATATGAAAGCAGTGTTGAATGATAGTGAGTGACAGTGCCACAGCGCACCACAGGAGAACAGCTTTAATACCAACACCATTTTGAAGAACCCCTGAAGGTCTGCAGCTAAAAATAAAAACAGGGCTAACTCCCTGATGCAGAACACCTGTCCTAGACACCTTTTTTTTGTGGACTCTCTTTTATTACTTTCTCTAAAGAGAAAGCAGGCTTGGTATTAGAACAAACACTGAAAACGGTTTTCATTACCATTTCATCCAAAAACATAAACCACCTCAAACCTAGACTTATAAAAAAAATCCACTCTTGAATGATTAATGCCCTTTTTCGGTCAGCAGAGCTTAGTTTGGACAAAAAAAACATCCTTGAGCGAAAAAGATGGCAATCAAAAACACAAGACAGAGGGAAGGGAGGGTGGACGAGCCAACCAGGACTCTTCGACCGTCCGCTGGGAGGGAAACCAACTCCTGGGGAAAGTGATTAGACTAGGCTCACTGCAGGCAACTTAGTGATTGGCTAAAAGAGCCCATTTGCATGCTGCTCTCATCTCCAACAAAGTCTCAGGAAGCACCGGTGGATAAGGTCACCGGTGTCTGTCTGCCTGTGTGCCAACTGAGAATGTAAACAGATCAAAGGCACCACAGCCGTTTAAGCGAGTGCACAAGGAGCCTGCGTTTCTGATCATCTGTACAATGATGACCTCAGATTCATGTCAGAGGTGATCCTGTCAGATGCAGCGACGTATGAACACTCGCATAACACAACCTTTTCGTTAAGTTGAGGAACAGCTTGAATTGGCAAATGATACGAGGTGTGGATATTGCAAATTCTATATTCTACCCGTGATCACTCATGTCCTGTTATTAGAGATTGATAGTGTTTGTCATAAACAATTCCCTCTGAGTGGGTGGACAATCCACACCTTCGATGCCTGCTGTAGTTCTACTACAATGTGGAAAGGGCCATGGCAAAGTTTAGGCGCAATCCAGATGTCTACATCTTACATTGTTGGTGTAACAGTAGATTAACGTTTAGTGGTAGCAAAGTGTTTTGTGGTTGACTAAAATATATAGATCGATGGACTTTAAACATACTAGCTTTTTGTTAGATTGTCTTATTGAAAAGTGTCACACAACCTTTCTCCCCTTTTATCAGGGAATGATAGGGTGTGTTCCCTGGACACGTAGTGAGTTTACTGAAGCGTCAGAGAAGCAGGACGCACAACTAGCAACATTGCTAACATCAGTTGAATTTCAACATCAAATCAAATCAAATCAAATCAAATCAGGTTTTATTTATATAGCACATTTAAAAGCGATTTTTGGTCGAGCCAAAGTGCTGTACATGTAATAAAAACACATTACTACAATCACAATAAACGACAATAAATTACAACAGATATATATAAAAAAATAGTCATGCTCCGCTCTAACTAGAAAGCCAGAGAGAAGAAGTGTGTTTTTAATGTAGAGATTTAGTGTAACATCAAAATAGACTCAACTAGCATGTATCGTAACCATTATCATTTGAAACTTAACAAATGTCCAGTAAAACAACTTGGTTTATTAATCTTAACTATCAACTATAAACAAGCGTAATACAAGAATATTCAACAATATTGTAGGAATGTTTCAATTGAAAATATATAGACAAAGTTGTGCAAAAGCAACGTCAGGTACCAACAGTTACTGTAGCCAAATGAGGTACCAGTCTGACCAATTTGACTATGTGTCTCTTTATACTCCATGCGTTATTATAATGTGCTTTTTGGGATATTCAACTGATGATAAAGGTTTTACTGTTTGTTTTCATATAAAGCTTTACAGAACATAACACCTGACTAGCGACTTGCTTCTTTTTCATCCTACAGTGCCATTAAATGTCTCAATGCCATCTGGAGCTGCACAAATTAAAACTCTCCTTTTTAAAGATACTCATTTTAATTGGTAAATATTTACTTTCAGGGGCTCTCAGTGGGCACACACGCAACTTCTAATGAAGCACTTTAGAGCCTGTGGGCTCTTGCTGTTTCCTTTTGTGTGATTCTAGACAAATGCAACCTGCGGTTGAACTGTTGATAAGGGCCAATGAAACACGACGCTGAACACTGCTGTGAGCATGCAGTGCATAACAACTGCGCCAGTACAATTACCCTATCAGTGGTAAGACTGATCTACTGTGTGTGTGTGTGTGTGTGTGTGTGTGTGTGTGTGTGTGTGTGTGTGCGTGTTGTACGTGTGTACGTGTATACGTGTGTACGTGTGTGTGCAGTTCTAAAATAATAGTCATAATAATGCTTTAGTGTTTGCAGGCATATTTTTTTTGGCATGTGTCTGTGTTTGCTTATTAGAGCTAAGTGGTCAATTTAAAAATTGCCATATTTTTGGACCAAATACCTTAATTTGTCAACATGCTGTAAATGTAAAAAAACATTTTGAAAGAGGAAAATAAATAACTTTAAAGTTCTGCTGCGTTTTATGATATAGCACAAAATATCTATCTATTCAAAGAGATTAAGAAAAAAAGATCTCGCATTTATGAAATGGCTCATTAGAATATGCATAAATGACTATATGAGGCAAGTACATTCTTAACATATTACAGATCATACGAGAATGCTGACTTGTTGCTTGCATGTGCTGTACATATTAGGGTGCTGATATAAACCTTTGGATCTTAACACCTGCTTCTCAATGATTGTTTAGCATGTATTGATGTGTTTCTGCATTGTGTCTGTGCTGCTTCATGTAAGTGCATCCTAGTGTGCACACTGTTTCAATGTGCACATTAATCTCTGACGCAGCAACAGCTCGGCGCCTTGTATGCACCGCTCTCTATCCCTGACCCAGTACTCTGTGTGATCCTGCCTACAGCCTCATTTGTCTCCATCACGGGACGGGCGAGGTTACTACTCACCAAAGCGCAGTACGTTTCTGGCGGATCTCCACACGTGATGTTTGGGGGGTCGAGGGCCACTCGCAGGTACTTCGTCATGTCGGTGCCTTCTGGCTGACAGGCCATGTAGTCCCACGCCAGTCCCTCCTCTGTATAGATCTGGAACTTACACACGTCATAGTGTCCCCAGGCCGCGGGGTAGTTTTGCATGGCGTGGGCCACGCTGGTGCACCCGGCTTGAAGAGCGAACAAAACGGGCCAAAGCATCGCTGATCTCATTCTGTGTGTTTTTTGTTGAACTTTTAGTTTTTACAGCTGCTGCTTTGTCATAAAAAAATGACAAAATCCTTGAGAATTTTCTAATTCAACTTCAGCCAAATGGTGCATTTGGGAACTGTGGCAGCATGTTGCTACTTTTGTATGAGCAGCTTCAGGCAACGATTCACCCCCATTTAGTTATTTTGTTTTTTCGATTGCTGCCACTTCTGCCTGGTTGATGAGGTGTGTCAACAAGGGGCTTTTCACAAGTGTTGGGTGTTGATGAAAGGGTCAACTAACGGTAAGATGTGATGGGCAGAGGGGAGTGACACTCCTCATAAGTCAGCGGCTGTCAGATGTCCTAGCTTGATCTCCTCTCAGTTGTGGTTTTTGCAGCACACAGCATCCTATAAGACAGAAGAAAAGGACACTTTGGTGAATTTAACAGAACATATAAAGCATTTGAGACATTGTTATTATTACTTTTGAATTATATTATATATTTAAAGTTCTACATGGTTTAAGGGCACTGAGGTGGATAAGATGTGCGTCACATCACCTACTCACACACACATACATCATTTATACACAAAGACAATGCAGCAATCCACTATTTATACGTTACCCTCAATAATAACCTTGCCAAAATCACTCTATACAATTCAAATCGTGCTTGTTCTGCAAAGCCTAATCTCCATTTTATTTTCATACAAAAAGGCTTATTTCCATGTGTCATGTCACTGCATTTAAGTTATTGCTTTTACCGATTCTCTTGCTCCTTTTACTGCTGAATGTGGAGTTGCCTTTGTCTCAAAGCCTTCAGAGGCATTTGGGAAATATCAAAGTAAAATTGGGAAACAGAAATGGTCTATTTGAGGGATTGTATGTTTCCCGGAGCTATCACAAGCCATCAGTCAGATGGCCTAACTCATCAGGTAATGGTGCCTGGCAGCAGTCAGTGGAGACACACACAATCTCAATGTCTCAGGTAAATGGTCTGTGCGGTAGTGGAGCAAATAATATGGAGCAGCTATAACAAAGCTACCTGCAACAGAGCAATGCAACATTTCAGTAAATAGGAGTTAGGTGTTAACAGTCAATGTGCTCAGTAGCCGGAGGTTTGTGAGAGAAGTCTGTTGAAGTAGCCGCTAGTGGCTGTTCAGAAAAATGTACTTACATTACAATTGAACGTTTGTCTACTTAGGACCCAATTTCAACAAGCATGAACGGTTATCCTTTTTAAAAGCCCATTACAAGTTTGCAATGTCACATCACATTTATTCTAACGCAGATTCAGACGTAAGCTGTGCCTGTCACAACCAGTGGGAACATGCCTTTCCCTTCAACAGCTTTACTCCCTCCCCATTTAGGCTACAGCTGTGACTGACAGTCAGTGCTGAAATAAAAAACGTTTCTGGTAAAATTGGGTTGGAAGCATGTGGAGAGTCTTTTATGTTCAGAGGAAAAAGCTTCTTTTGGATTTGTGTCACGAGATTACCGTTTTATCAAGAGATGATCAAGTCATATACAATTAATTAAGGAAAGAGTTTCAATAAAAAAGGTTCATCGTGTGAAAGGACAAAGATATGGATCACATTGTGGAAACAGAAACGTATCTTAATGAGTTGCTACAGCTCACACACGCAGACTGGGTTCTGTGCTCCCTGCTGACATATGGAGGCATTAAAATTCAGTATTTTAAATTGGCCATCTTGTCTTTAACTGAAAATGGTGCCAATTTGAATACATTTGACCACATCTAAGGCAATCACCTCTTTCCTTTTCCCAAACTAACGCCAGTTTTACAAAAATGACTACGGGCGTGAATACATTCCAAATATAATGACAGATGTTCATCTGAAGCAAAATAAATATCTGCACTACAATTCAGGCTCGGCAGACCTTTCAACCTGAGCCATGTCAGGAGGTTTGAAGGCAGGCTACATTTAATAGACCTCTGGTGGGAGAGGAAAATAAACTGGTGAAAGAAAAATGTAAAGGGAGGCAATTTAGTGTTTTAAAAAATGCTCATGTCAATCAACAAGACTCCTAAGATGAGGCCAATTATGAATTTGATAACACGGCTGGAGCTCTGAGTGATGAATGAGCGATTTCTCTTGCGTGTATCAAAATTCATAAGTATAAATGTCAGTCGCTGATCAGCGATGCGTCACAGGATGGACCACTCTCCAACTCACATGGCGTCACACACACACAAGCACTCAGACACACACCTATATTCGTCCTTTCATAATGCTGAGGTTGACTTTCATTATAAAGACAGGTAAATTAGGTACCAGCTGCAGTGTCAGGGAGGTTATTTCTTTTATTTAAAAGGGAACATTCAAAGCTAATAAGCGACAGCAAATTGAGCTGACCGCAGGGATATTGGATTTAATTCACAGACACTTGGAGTAATGAAATCTACAGATGAAAGGAACATGTGTCAGGATGCACAGTGAACCTCTGTTGACAGATACCATTCAACATCAGAGCACGGCAATTTGACAAGAAAGGGAGTAAATCATGCGGTAACAAATGTTTTAAGACCAGTTTTCAGTTATTGTTTTAATTTAAAAAAAACCTACAACAAGTGTTTTGATACCATCTTGGCTCATTTAAATCCAATAGAGAGGTGCAAATATGAAAAAAACATTTATTATACAAATTACACTGAAACTATAAATATACAGGAATTAGAAACTACTCCTCTTGTCTCCCCCGCCTTTTCTCGTGCCACTATAATGCAAGGAGGAACTAAGGAATGTCATAATTTAACTGAGAGAAATATGAGGTCAGATTCTATATTAAAAGTCATAAATATTTGAGCAGCTCTCCGTATGCAGGGAGAGAGAGAGAGAGAGAGAGCTTAGGGTGACCATCCCACCCTCACCCTCAGCTTCCCCCTCTTTCCCTCTCTCTCTCATTTCCTTCACTTGTTTTTGAAGCCTCTGAAACACCCCCATGTGTCCGCTTGCATTCCATCCCCTGGGCAGCTCAAGCATGGCGGAGTGTTTTAAAAGTCAGCAGGCAGCCGTGCCCCGTGGCTTATATTGCTTACAAACTCCCAGCCAGACTCTTAAAAACCATGGCGGATGTATTCTATTCATTTTATAGTAATCCCGCTAAAGTGTGGCTTTGCTCTCTGTCTCCGAGTGTGGCTTTCTGACCTCCTCCTGGCTCCTTTAATGAGCAAAGTGGAAGAGAGCTGTCCATGGTTCTGAAATACTATGATTCACAGTAGTACACCTGTACCTTAAACACTGTCGTTGATTTCAAGATGACACTATTATTGATTTCAGTATAAAAACAAGAAAAAAGCCCTTGACAGCCTAAACTGATGCCCCATCTGCGGTTTACCTCGCAACAATTGCTGTTCTGTTGTCTTGCTGTTTCTGTATCGAGCACCTGGTCAGGATTTTGGATGTGTACACGCACAATGCCGCCTCGTTGTGTTTATTGATTTAGCTGACTTCCAACCAATAACTTTTGATCCATAGCCAGTTTGAGCAGACTGATGCTTTGTGGCTGGCTGATGAGTGCAACAATAAACGTGTTAATGCTTCCAAGGTCCTCCGCGCCAAGAACCAAACCCTTCCATATGAGTCCCAGTGGGATCCAATGGCAAGCAGAAGCATGTCTGTACTGGCAAGCATTTGTCTTCTCATTGTCTTTCACTCCTTCATTCTTTCTCACAGGGTCTCTCATTCAATCGGTCAGCCCTGCTCTTTCTCTCTTCAAACCCTTCTCCATTTCTTTGTGTCTCAACGGCACCATTACTGCACTAGATCTATAAGCACATTAAACATCACAATTACTGTCCAGGGGCTCCACCTTTAGCCTCTGAAATCGGAGTCACTTTTTATTTACAACAGTGGCTGTCTGTGCAAAGAGCTTTTACCCTGGGAGGATGTGGTTGATGTGGAGATAGTGTGAGGGTCCCTCAGTGAGGAGCCCAGCCAGAGAGGCAGTGGTGCAGCCTGCCTGCACCACTGAATGCCACACATGAAATCTGATGCCATACATTATTCAAAGTTCTTCTCCTTAACCACTAACATGCAAAAACGCAGAACATGTTGCATACATTCTAAAACATCTTACATTTATGCAATCAAAAACACACAACAGAGAGCAAGGGAAAAGTCCAACGACGTTATAGTTTGTCATGTGATAAAGCACGTTTCAAAGTAAGATGCACAGAAAGCAACCATTAGGCACACACTTAGATATTTAACAGGAGCTGTCTCGGTATGTTCTGGGTCAGATTTTGCGCAGAGGCGAGGCACACCTATATCTGACTTTACTAACCTGCTGCGCAACAGGTTAAAGTCCCATTATATATCAAATATTAATCGGAAAAATAATAGGGATGTTTAAGTGCATACGTTGTTTTTAGGCTCCCGTATGTTAAACAATACCACTTCAAACCTGATTAGAGTGACAGTTAACCTACACAGCCCACTGTGATGACTCTATAACTGTGACGGTGTGCACAAAAAGGAAAATGAACAATATGAATGCTCAAAGCTCGACAATACTCACATTTAAATTCGCTCCTGGGTCGAGCTGCTCATTCAACAAGTTAACAGCCAAAAGAAGTTGCAGCAGTACTTTGATACGCCTTTGAGTGATTCTTCTCTTTCCAGATTATTCAAATTTCAACAGATGAATCAAGAGAAGCGGCATTCAAATGAAGAGCTAAACGTTTTCTCTCTCTGTGCTTTTTTTTTTTTTACTTTGTTTTAACTTTTGAGTCTCATTAGAGTAGCTTTACTGTCCATATTTTGTTCCGGGACTTGCTCCCATTGAAACCTTTCCTTTCGCGCCTGCAAACGCCGCCAAGTAACGACAGTCCACACAGGCTGTTTGGCTTTACGCAGCACTGCTCTTGGCGCAGCATATATCGGAATGGCGCACGATAAATACTTCAAGAAGACGTTAAGGGGATTCGCAGTGGTCGCAAATGCATTAAAGTCCATCAACGCGTATGAAAACACATCCTGATGTTGAGCAATTTATGGAGGCTTTTGGATAGATTTGATAGTGTAGCCGAGTTGTGGACCGTAAAGGAGGAGGGAGATAAGCAATCTTCCTCAAATGGAGACGCTATGTCCAGTTACATACGAGCACTCCGCGGGGTCCTAAAGACAATTCAGACTTGCTTGTAAATCTCAACTTCAACCATTGTTTTTTACGACGTGGTTAAATTCGAGCAACTGCGTAAAATATCAAGCCTTCCCTAGAGTCGTTTATCTAACGATTCAGCCTCAAGATCTCTTTTTTTTCATAGTAGTTTATATTGTGTTTTAAATGCAACTCTGACTTTATCTTAGAGGGGATGCTTTTGGAAAATCCCTGACAGCATATTTCCTCCCGTTCACTCATATGAAGGAAATCATTTAAAACTAATTAACATGATTTGTTTCGTCGAAAGTCGAATCTTATATTTAAAGTTGCTCCAAGATGTCAACAGAGTCAAACTGTGGTACAGCCTCAACAGATGCAAAGCCAATACGCACTGACATCAATTGAAAAACAGTTAACACATTTTCGACTTCAGCAAACAGTAATTACAGTGTTCAGCTCTGATAAGACGTGTCATCTAACGCCGAGCAAACCACACCTATGAGTTAACTCATTGCGATTTTATTATCACATTTAGGATCCGTCAACATGACAGGGATGCATGTGGAGAATAAATCAACCAAATCTTAACAGAGGCAAGTCCTCAGGACATACATAAAAAAAGTACACAATTAGAATACATTATTAGTTGGAAGGATTGGATCGCCGAAGAAACTAAACAAAAATATCTGGAAATATAATATATGTTAGTTGTTTTGTTGACGCTCATAACAACCTGAGAATAAAGACGAACATAGTTTCACCGCTTCAGAACTCGATGTTTTCGGAAAAACAAAATAAATATCTTACCTTCCATTAAGATTGTGTGGATTTCTGCGCGTGCAGAAAACGGAAAGGGAACAAAGTCCTCCAGTCGAAGTTGTTGGTGTCAATAGTCGGCGAATTTTGAAGGGAGAGCTGATAGAATAACTACAGTTAGGTGCGTATACCGGGCTCCCTTGGCGAAGAGTCATAGGTGTCACCCTCTCCACTACAGGGTGCCAAGCAGCACGGCAAACAGCCGCGGTGACGGGTCGCTTTGAACACGCATTTTAATTGAGGTGTAATGCCAACTGGTGGAGATTGCACGATAAGAACAACCGCGCCCACCTGAAGGTCACCACAGTAATTGAGTGGACTGTATCCCATGTCGGTGCAAAAAAACTGAGTTGTACATGTGTACACTAGACCCTTATATTCTCAAATCATATTTTAAGAGGTGTGTAAATTGATTGGGTTCCATCGAAGCCACAAAGCAACCACGGTGTTTTCCTCTCTATGTAAATCATTTAGTTAGAAATGTGAAGGTGCACACTTATTTTTACATTATATTGTTTTTACTCCCTCCTGTTATCTTCTTGCATTCATGTTCAGAACCTTGGACAGCTCTTGTCTCTTATAGCAACTTCACCAGTGGCTTTTTAATCGCTTTTTCATATTCACAATGCTTTAAAACGTTGTTTGGTAAAGTAGACTGTGATGAATACAGTTTGGGGCTTGCAGTGGGTTCCTTTCTTTCCCTTATATGTAGTCATTAGATTGTCCTTCTTTCACCCACTTCATCCTTTTTTATTTCTAAATGTTAGAATAAACACATTGGAATGAACCATCTCAGTTTCAAGGAGTCCTTTTATTCCATCTCTTCCTCTAAGAAATCAGAATAGACACACTTCATTTCCTAACCTGTTTTCTTTGCACAATGATCACTATGAAGCTGAGGGTTTTAAAATGCCCCCAAATCAGCCTGTATTGATTTCTGGCTAATTAATATGCAAGGAAAGACCTGTAATCCCATTTTTGTTTTAAACGGTAAAAGCCCTTTCTTTTCTGATAAAGGCAGATTTGGTCCAGACCGGAGCTGCATGACAACAAGTCTCTCATCCCCACTGAGGTAAAGTGGCTCACATTGTATCAGAGGGTTCAGCCTTTGCTTGGAGCGACTGCTGCTCTTGACATTTCCATTAAATCATTCCTCCTGGAAATACTACCATGGCGCCCTGGCAGTCACATGCATGACTGTGCTCTGTCATTTTGATTATAAGCAGTGTAGATAGATAGATAGATAGATAGATAGATAGATAGATAGATAGATAGATAGATAGATAGATAGATAGATAGATAGATAGATATAGATAGATAGATAGATAGATAGATAGATAGATATAGATAGATAGATAGATAGATAGATAGATATAGATAGATAGATAGATAGATAGATAGATAGATATAGATAGATAGATAGATAGATAGATAAATAGATAAATAGATAGATAGATAGATATAGATATAGATAGATAGATATATAGATAGATAGATAGATATAGATAGATAGATATATTGTAGTTTTGGAAGTAGTCAACATGTAAATAAACAAAAAACTTACTTTCATTTTGCAGTGGCTTGTATGGAGTTCAACTACATTTACATTAGCATAGTAGTCATAGTAGTTCAATTGCTTATATTTTGGTCATGTTATGTGTACACACTAAACTACAATCGATTTTGGTCACTATAAAAGAAAGGGATTTTTTTTCTTTCATTTCTTTTTGGTCATTTCTTCTATAACGTAATGGCGTCCAGTTTTAGTGAAACAAAGACCTAGGGCCATGGCTCTCTTAGTTCTGACAAATTATTATGTTCATAGTAACAATACTAACATGCTCATTATGTGTTCAGAAGTGTTAGCATGCTAACTTTTCACCAAACACCAAGTACATCCAACAGATTTGGATCATTATGCTAGAAAACAAAAAATGTCACCCTCATGTTGGCGCTAGATGAGCTGAGAGAGAATAACCCAAGGCAAATGAAATTCATCCTATGGGGGTTTTAAATACCTGGACAAAATGGCATCTGATAGCAATCCATCTATTAGTTGTTGAGCTCTTACAATCTCGACCACAGTGTTGGACTGAAGGACTGACTCTCACTACTGTCCCTGCAGCCATGCCACTCTAAAAATAAAGCCCCAATGTTAAAACATTCCACACGGAAAGGTCAGACCATCACATTGACCTTGTGGATTTTTTGTACCTATATTAACTCCATAAACAGTATAAGCAACCACAAATCTACAGTTTATTGAATTTCAACGTTGCAAACTAAAGTAGATCAGAGTAGTGGGAATATAAATATACAGCAGAAGATGGCTTTCCTCACGCCCCCGCAGCCCCCGTGGGTCAAAGGTTTCAGGGTCATCTGAATGAATCCACAAAGCCTGCATGAAATCACATCAGAGCGTCCAGAATCCCTCCATTGCAGCTCCTTGGTTTTTCAGCGGCATGCTACGGTGCCCGGTGAAGAGACAGAGGTGGAGTCTGCCCTCTCACCCTCTGCATGTCCTCAACCCAGAGCTGGCGCTGACAGAGATGGAGGGTTTGCTGTTTGATTCAGCTCTCGGGGGTCTATTGATGGTTTCAAAGTGGAGTCCACCTGCCACTGCTTTAATCATCCGTGACCCCGGCTGCATGTTGGAAGACCGCAGAGGGGGACCGGATCAGCAGTCCTGTACGTGTGTGTGTGTTCGTGTGTGAGCAGTCAAAGGAAAGTAAAGAAAGAAGGAGAGACGGATATATATATAGAGAGAGGATGAAGAGACATTCAGATGTAAAGAGATAAGATGAGTATGAGTCGGTCCAGACACTTTTCAACTTTGTCATCATGTGGCATTTTCTCTATGAGCTTTCTTGGAATAACATTGTTTTGATCCCATCCAGCTCGAGGCTTTTACTTTTTCACATGAAATATTTCTATCTGGTTTAAGTGTATTATTAGTGTATTTAATAAGATTTTTCTCCAGAGGTGGAGCAGAGTGAATCAGCATGCAGACACAACTTATGGCTGCCACATTAATTCAATTTATTCCAAAGCCTTTCTTAAGGCCAAGGTTGTAATTATGGCATGCAATTAGCGGGGGTATAAATATTAGATAACTTCCCAATTCCCAGTGAAAGTTAACCCAAAAGTGTTTTTTTTTTTCACGTATTGGTGATTTACATAAATATCTCAGAGCGCTTCTGGCTATAATTAAAGTGAAATTCACATGGAGCTGACAAACATCACTCATCGTTTAGGTGAGAAGGTTGTGATAAGTGTTTATCTATTATTTTTGCGTCACCAGAAGTCTACTGATAATTGGAACGAAACGTCACCTTTAAAGTGCCAAGTGGAGCTACCGTGTGATGCCATATGACTCCACAGTGTTGGATTTGAGTGGGTTGTTACCACACATAAAAGTCACTGTGTACAAGGAGTAGTTGACATTTTTTGGAGAGTATGCCAAAGCCACTGCAGTGCAGCTCAGAACAGGAAGTGATCAGGGTGAGGAAGGAGGTTGCAGAGTCAGGAAACACTGTTTAGAACTAGTTCAAGCACTGCTGTGTGAGTACGTGTGTGTGTGTGTGTGTGTGTGTGTGTGTGTGTGTGTGTGTGTGTGTGTGTGTGTGTGTGTGTGTGTGTGTGTGTGTGTGTGTGTGTGTGTGTGTGTGTGTGTGTGTGTGTGTGCAAAATGATGAAAGTAATGTTTATTCGAGACACTGATCATAGAAATTATCCATGTACTTTGTAAACATCTTTAATAACTTATATGGTGACACGTTCTGCCCTGATTCATAGCAGTTTACTCCGCTTTTAATTTATTTTTGTATATTTCATTTATTTTATCAGGCAATCTCATTGAGATTAAAAATGATTTTCCAAGAGAGACCGGATAACAGGAAGAAAAACAGAAGGGAGACAACTTTATTCAGTAAATGAAGAACATGAGATACAGTAGTTA